CTTCAACTCAAAAATCCTTTGCAGCTGGTTGCTTTGAAATTTTGAGTTGAACTAACTTTTTCTTTTTTACAGTGCATGTTTAGTTCTGACTCTGGGCACTAACAGGAGTCCAGTCCCTGTGCTCCTCAGAGTCCCAGCAGGAGGCCAGTCCCTGTGCTCCTCAGAGTCTCAGCAGGAGGCCAGTCCTTGTGCTCCTCAGAGTCTCAGCAGGAGGCCAGTCCCTGTGCTCCTCAGAGTCCCAGCAGGAGTCCAGTCCCTGTGCTCCTCAGAGTCCCAGCAGGAGTCCAGTCCCTGTGCTCCTCAGAGTCCCAGCAGGAGGCCAGTCCCTGTGCTCCTCAGAGTCCCAGCAGAAGTCCAGTCCCTGTGCTCCTCAGAGTCTCAGCAGGAGGCCAGTCCCTGTGCTCCTCAGAGTCCCAGCAGGAGTCCAGTCCCTGTGCTCCTCAGAGTCCCAGCAGGAGTCCAGTCCCTGTGCTCCTCAGAGTCCCAGCAGGAGTCCAGTCCCTGTGCTCCTCAGAGTCCCAGCAGGAGTCCAGTCCCTGTGCTCCTCAGAGTCCCAGCAGGAGTCCAGTCCCTGTGCTCCTCAGAGTCTCAGCAGGAGGCCAGTCCCTGTGCTCCTCAGAGTCCCAGCAGGAGTCCAGTCCCTGTGCTCCTCAGAGTCCCAGCAGAAGTCCAGTCCCTGTGCTCCTCAGAGTCTCAGCAGGAGGCCAGTCCCTGTGCTCCTCAGAGTCCCAGCAGGAGTCCAGTCCCTGTGCTCCTCAGAGTCCCAGCAGGAGTCCAGTCCCTGTGCTCCTCAGAGTCCCAGCAGGAGGCCAGTCCCTGTGCTCCTCAGAGTCCCAGCAGAAGTCCAGTCCCTGTGCTCCTCAGAGTCCCAGCAGGAGGCCAGTCCCTGTGCTCCTCAGAGTCCCAGCAGGAGTCCAGTCCCTGTGCTCCTCAGAGTCCCAGCAGGAGGCCAGTCCCTGTGCTCCTCATAGTCCGGGCTGGTTCATATGGGACTAACATGTCACTAATATATTTTGGTGCGAGGCCATGGAGAGACTTGTAACAAGCAGAGCTGTTTTAAAGTCTATTCTCTGAGCCACAGGAAGCCAGTGCAGAGACCTGAGGACTGGACTAATGTGGTCGTACTTCCTGGTTCTTGTCAGGACTAATGTGGTCGTACTTCCTGGTTCTAGTCAGGACTAATGTGGTCGTACTTCCTGGTTCTAGTCAGGACTAATATGGTCGTACTTCCTGGTTCTTGTCAGGACTCGAGCTGCTGCATTTTGAATGTACTGCAGCTGTTTTACAGCCTGTTTGGACAGACCTGTGAGCAGGCCATTGCAGTAGTCTAACCTACTGGAGACAAATGCACATATCCATCACTATTGCACTGGTCACTATGGAAACCACAGCTATGCAATCATCTCTGATTTCCATAGCAACCGTTTTCATGCCATAGAAGGCAATAGAGTGAATGGAAAAACTTGTTACATACTTATTTATCTTGAATAAAAATATATAAAGCACCTCAAATTAAATATTGCTCACTTTATTCTTCACATAAAAGGCCAAAAAAAATACCACAGAAAATGCAGTCACGTGTACAAACAGGTATGTAAAGGTCATAGAATTATTGAGTTGGATTTATAAGATCCACCAAGCGCGGGTTTAGAGCAGCAAAAGCAACACTGTTGCAGCACAGTATCAGTAGAGTTTGTTGGATGTGCCGAAATGGTACGTGAGGTTTTCATGACCCACCACTACTGAATACATATTTCTTTGAACATCATGAAGGAAGCCCCGCAATGAAGTAGGGCATCAAAAAATTTGCAATATTCTCTTATTGTTCCTCACCACGGAAATCTTTAGTAAAAGGCGAAAGATTTATACGCTCTGAAGAGAAACAAGAGTGCCCAAATGTCGGGCCCCGGGAGAACAAAAACATTAGACCTGGCGGTTCTATCGTGGTTGATCAGCTGCTAAAGTCCACCTAATTTGACCAGTTTACACGTGCAAATGCTCTGTCTGATTGACTGCATTGGTTGATTTAAAACACAACCAACACATTCCACATGTATATAAGGCATTAAAAAGAGAAGCAAGAAAAAGGAAATGAACAGCAAAGCACTAAGAAATCTGCCACAATGACTTTTACAGTAAAGAGGAGGTGCACCGTTCCTGGAGGTACTGCAATACCAGGTCAATGCATGGAGAGGACAGAGCAAGCTCCTAATTCCATCTCCCAGTTCCAAAAATCAATTTAATATATGGTCCCCCATGTAGGGGACGTATCAGATATTAAACTGATAAGAACAGATACTACACTTGATCTTAGCCAAAAGGCCGAGAAGCGATGCCAGAAAAATGTGGCAGTAATTCTGTGGATTTCTGCTGACAAACCTTTGCCACATGGTTGACAGCATCCTGTCATCAGCAAAAGAAAAGAAAAGAAAAGAAAAGAAAAGAAAAGAAAAGAAAAGAAAAGAAAAGAAAAGAAAAGAAAAGAAAAGAAAAGAAAAGA